TTTTTTCCTCATTGCCTCCCAGGTTCAAGAAGCAATTCTCCTGCCTCTGTCTCTCTAGTAGTTGGGATTACAGGCACGCACCACCACACCCACCTAATTTTTGTTTTTGTTTTTGTTTTTGTTTTGAGACAGAGTCTCACTCTGTCGCCCAGGCTACAGTGCAATGGCTCGATCTCAGCTCACTGTAACCTCCGCCTCCTGGGTTCAAGTGATTCTCCTGCCTCAGCCTCCTGAGTAGCTGGGACTACAGGCATGTGCTACTATGCCCAGCTAATTTTTGTATTTTTAGCAGAGACGGGGTTTCACCATGTTGGTCAGGCTGGTCTCAAACTCCTGACCTCTTCATCTGTCCACCTCAGCCTCCCAAAATGCTGTGAGTATACTTGTGAGCCACCACGCCCAGCCATTTTTGTATTTTTAGTAGAGACTGGGTTTCACTACTAAAAATTTTTTACTCGATTTTTTATGTTGGCCAGGCTGGTCTCGAACTCCTGACCTCAGGTGATCCACTCACCATGGCCTCCCAAAGTGGTGGGATTACAGGCGTGAGCCATCATGCCCGGCCATTTGTGTATTTTTAGTAGAGATGGGGGTTTCACCATGTTGGCCAGGTTCGTCTTGAACACCCAACCTCAGGTGATCAGGTGATCCACCTGCCATGGCCTCCCAACATGCTGGTATTGCAGGTGTGAGCAATCCTGACCTCACCAGACCTTCCTTTCTCAGAGATTACTGCCAACTTTGGTCACTTTATGAAAGTCTGGCGTCTTTTCCTGATTAGGTGGACCCCTAGCATGGGGAGAGCTGGCATGGCATGGCATGGCTGAGGGCCACTGAGGCCTGGGCAGGCAAGAGAAACATGAGCCACAGGTTTTGTTAGCAGTTAGAATCAAGTGCTATGATGGTAATGACTAAAAGTTTTTTTAAGACAGAGTTTCACTCTCATTGTCCAGGCTGGAGTGCAATGGCACAATCTCAGCTCATTGCAACCTCTGCTTCCCCTGTTCAAGTGATTCTTCTGTCTCAGCCTCCCAAGTAGCTGAGATAACAGGCATGTACCACCATACCTGGCTAATTTTGTATTTTTAGTAGAGATGGGGTTTCACCATGTTGATCAGGCTGGTCTCCATCTCCTGACCTCAGGTGATCCACCTGTCTTGGCCTCCCAGAGTGCTGGATTACAGGTGTGAGCCACTGTGCCCAGCCAAGAATTCTAATACTTGACTTCTACAATGTGCTACATACATTTACTCACTTGATCTAACAACCTGTGGTCAAGGAAGAAGCATGGGCCTTGAGGCTAAACATAGAAAGGTTTGAAATTCTCTACCCACTCACTGGGTCCTAATGCTGATTACTTAATCTCTATGAGCCTTAGTTTTCTCATGGAAAATATGCCTCCCAGGGTTAAGAGGAGTAAATGGGACCTTGTGTCTTCAATATTATTATTATTTTTTTTTGAGACAGAGTCTTGCTCTTGTTGTCCAGGCTGGATTGCAGTGGCATGATCTCGGCTCCCTGCAACCTCCACCTCCCAAGTTCAAGCAGTTCACCTGTCTCAGCCTCCCGACTAGCTGGGATTATAGGTGCCTGCCACCACACCTGGCTAATTTTTTTTTTTTGTATTTTTAGTAGAGATGGGGTTTCATCATAATAGGCTGGTCTCGAACTCCTGACCTCAGGTGATCTGCCCTCTTTGGCCTACCAAAGTGCTGGGATTATACGTATGAGCCACCACACCTGGTGGTGTTCGATATTCTTATTGTTCAATTATTCTTTTTGCCATGCCTTTCTTGCAGGTGAGTCCTGCAAATGTTAAGTGATTTGCTCAAGGTGCCCATTTTGCAGGAACTGGAGCCCAGGCCAGTTCTCTGAGTCTATCATTAGGGCTAAAGGTGAGCCGTCAAGTGTTTTACCTCCATGGGGGCTATTGGCTATTTCTTCTCTGTTAGCTGGTTCAGCATGAGGGGCCTCAAAGCAGGAAGCCACATTCTTGCCTTCTTGGTGTGAGTCCATGGGACAGGGTGACTCCCTTGAACCCTGGGCCCGAGCTGCTTACATATTAGCTGAAAGCGGGGCCAGTCCTGCAGCTTTGCCCACTTGCATAGCGTTTACGAACAACTGCTCAGGGCTTTATTTGTCATTCCCGAAACCAGGGTTGGTTTCTGGATTTATCAAGGACTTGCAGAAATCTCAAAATAAACCTCTTGCTTTCTAGACCATGAGTTGTTGCTTCCTCTTTTCTTCTCTGGACTTTCCCCAGAGGAAGAGAAAGCAGAAGTCTCAGGCCTAGAGACAGCTGAGAGGCATCACCTGGTTCAAGGTGTGGAATGTGGGCAGTGGAGTGAAGGCCTGGTTACCTCTCCAATGAGGACTAGCCCCATAGAGCTCACTCTCTGGGGAAGAACTTTTCTGTGCAAGTGGGAGCCCACGGGACTCCTTCCTGTCTAGTGTAATGTGGGGGATTTCCTCCTTTCAGATTGTAATTTTTGCCTCCTCATGTTAGAACCCAGAGCCTGGGCATTTTGGTGATTTAGCCTGGACTTTGATTCCTGTCCCTTTTTTCCTGGGGGATATGGGGTGGTAATTCTTTACCCTCTGATCCTGTGAGGGGAGACTAATTCCAGGACTCTGGGCCTTGGCATCTGGGCCTCTCCAGGGCCAGCCACAGCCTTGAGCTTGCTTCTCTGTCTGAGCACTGCCAGGTGCTGGGGCGTGGCCTCAGTCATGGTAACTGAAGATCGGGCCCACTCAGGCATTGAGGCCTCAAGGGGGCGGTGCCTAGGCTGGTGCAGGGGAACTGAAGCAAAAAGATTCCATCCCACAGGCCAAGAGCGGAATCAGTGTCACCTCCTTTAGCCAGAGTACTGGGCGCACCTGAGCCAGTGGAGACTTGTGACTTCTCCTCCTTCTAGGAGTGCATCATCAGAATGGCATCAGGACGGTTCTACCTGTCCTGCCTGGTGCTGGGGTCCCTGGGCTCCATGTGCATCCTCTTCACGGTCTACTGGATGCAGTACTGGCGTGGCGGCTTTGCCTGGAATGGCAGCATCTACATGTTCAACTGGCATCCAGTGCTTATGGTAGCTGGCATGGTGGTATTCTACGGAGGTGGTGAGTAAGAGGTCAGCAAGGGAGGCGGGATAGGGCTCAGGCTGGGCCAACCTGCACTTTCCCTCTCCAAGGCTGGCTTTTGTCAATATTAGGTTTGCAGCCATGGTGGTAGGGTGGGTTGAGCTGTCACTAGACTCAGCTGTCATTTTGAGGAGGAAGTGGTTAAGACTGGGGGCATCTCAGAAGGGTGGCTTCACAGATACTCTAGGGCAGGAGTTGGCAAACTTTCTGTAGAGGGTCAGATGATAAATATTGGAGTTTTGCCAGACATGTAATCTGTGTAGCAGCTACTCAGCTCTGTCACTGTATTGTGAGAACAGCCTTAGACAACACATAAACACATGAGTGTGGCTTATATGTTCCAATAAAGCTTTATTTGCAAACATAGGTAGTGAGCTGGATTTGGCCTTTCAGCTGCAGTTTTATAACTCCATCTCTAGAAAACAGGAGATTGAACCCTTTCATGGACTTGCTTGCTCTTCTGGGATCCATCTTTTTTTTTTTCTTTTTTGAGAGAGAATTTCATTCTTGTTGCCCAGGCTGGAGTACAATGACGTGATCTCAGCTCACTGCAAACCTCCACCTCCTGGGTTCAGGCCATTCTCCTGCCTCAGTCTCCTGAGTAGCTGAGATTACAGTTGCTCGCCACCATGCCCAGCTAATTTTTTGTATTTTTAGTAGAAATGGGGTTTCACCATGTTAGCCAGGCTGGTCTCGAATTCCTGACCTCAGGTGATCCTCCCACCTTGGCCTCCCAAAGTGCTGGGATTACAGGCGTGAGCCACTGTGCCCGGCCACTTT